TTGGTTTTCTGACTGTTATGTATAGTACTTCCTCTATCTACTTTTGATAGTCATATTTCTAAATCTGAAAAATTTTTGATAGGCATATTTCAATTCAACAACTTATCATCTTAATGATTTTTTCGGATTTAATGCATGACTCTCTATTCTTCCTCACAAGATTGGTTACATGGGTATCAAGAAATGTAAATATTAATGAATTGCTTGTTTACGAGGAATGTCTAGTAACTTGTTTAAATGGATGATAAGTAGAATTGCTTATTATTGGTCTGTGTGCCAATATGAAATATGACAGTCAAAAGTAGATGGAGGGAGTAGTATAGAAGTTATAAATTTTGGTTGTTTTGTCAAAATGTTTCTAAACAGACCCAGTTGGCCAGTTCTACTGGACGCGTTTGACTTGTACCACGAAACCCCAATGTTGATGTTCTCGTCTTCATCGGGTAGAGGAGACGGCAGCCGTGTTGGATGCCACGCTCGGAACAATAGCCGAAGATTCGAACCTGTTTGATTTGAATCCATGCCAAAAAAATTGGCAATGCCAATAGAATTGGATGGCATTCCGTTTGCTAGAGAAGAAATGGTATTGCAAAAGTATTGGTAAGAAACATAAACAAGAGCACTAGCAAAAATTTAACGCCAAGCCAAACAATCCTGATAAATCTTATCGCTGCCAAAATATTGGTAGGGTTAAAAACTCTTACAGACAACAGGAAATCTGAGAGCCTTCACCCTCCTATTCAACTGGGTTATTAGAAAAGCTGCTTCGTTCGTCGACTTCTTTGCCTTCTATTATGGAAGTCTTAGTTACGAGCTCACTTCCACTGACTTCTTCCTTAGTATACTCTCAGTAAATACTTTAAGACTCCGTTCCTGAGCCTAGTCTATATCCATAGCTGACGTGACGACGCCTTTCCCTTTGTAGATGTATAAGTTAGTCTATAACCTTAACATACTTTTTTTTTTTCATACTTTTTCCCATTAGGTCTAACGGGCTTTCGTCCCTTCGCCTATAGGCGGCTTCACTATCGCTCATGATTTGGCATAGAAATCTCTCCATGTAGTGTAGTGGTCAGTGTTGGTGATATGGGCCCGGGGGTATCAGGACCATAGGGAGGAGGCTGCCCCCGGTAGCCATGTGGCCCGACCCCCCTGTTTACGCGAAAAACACACACTGGCCTAGGAGATCTGCTTAGTTCCAGTGCAGGTCCAAATCTTGATAAGATGCAGGCGTGCCAGTCAGTTTGATCTTACAACTGACAAGATATACAAATAGCAGATCAATGAACCAATCGACTGACAAGCCGATAGATTAATTCCAGCTGATGCCGATACCAGCTGATAGCGATAGAGTTTTGAGCTATCGGTTATATGTTTGATGTAGATAACAATATAAAGGCAATCGGCTAATGATGATGTAACAACATAACAATAATATAATCCAGTAGAAACCAATCGGCTAACAATGACATGATAGAATAAACACTGATCCGAAGGTTAAAGCATACATCGGCTGAAGGTCCGATGCCATAAAATCCAAACGATTAGATAAACAGTAAAATCTTTGTTGCGATCGGCTAAATCCATTATGTATGCAATCGTTGTAAGCCGATGCAATGTCCAGATAACTCATCAGCTGAAACCCCGATGAAACCCTTATTAGCAATCAAGAAACAAGCTAGAGATTATGGTTCTAAACATGACTTAGTAGATCAAACTTAATTGATGCAGCACTAAGTATGAAAAGAAACATAATATCTAGACAATCAAACCCTTAACTGATTTTCGGGGTGGTAGATATCTAAGTCAATCTAATCTAGCAAGACGATTTAGCCGATACCGGCAGAAACCCTAAAGCGAGAAGCAGCCGATAGAGCTAAATTGATATGCTAAGATTAAATTAACATAGCCATATGATAAATTGGTAGGCAAAAATACCAACCGAACTAGAGCAATTTAAGAGGTCGAATATACTGATGCAGCCTTGAACGACGCCGACGAAGCCAATATAATTGCCAGGGCCAGTGGAACGTAGGACTTACCCCTTCGCCAGAGATTGAACTGAACCAATGCAGCCCCGCGTCAGGTGCCAAATTCCGCCGGCTGATAAGTAAAAACCTCAGGAAAGAGGGTGGCGATGCGCCGATAGCAGTATTGATCGAGAGATATATTACAGTGACCCGGGTGTACATATTTATACCCATGGGTAGATACTAGTTCTTGTAGGAAAAGAAAAAAAAAACTTTTCTAAAGATAAAAGGAAAACATAAAGTCCTTATAGGACACTAACAAACTATTCCTAATTAATAGATAACTTGCCATGCCGCATTCTTCTTGACCTCGGTCACTTCTGGATAAGCTTTCTTTAATAAATTAATTTCCTTAACCGAATATAGCAGGAATCCAACTATTAGCGATGTGGTAATTTGCTTAGGGGCTTGCCAAATTTCACCGTTAACACCCTGAAACCCCCGGGCGCGGTGTCGCGTGTGCTCGGTTAGGTGGGCACCCCCAACGCCCACCTAACCGCATTTAAGGCAGTGTGAGCGAGCGCACCACACCGTATTAAATACAGCACGTGGTGCGCCTGACCGGACCGTGACCAGTCTGTGACCAGTCGAATGACCGATGTGTCCAGGGTAGTGCGCCTGTGCACTGGTTGCATGTCACATCCCCTGTCATGTCCTTAGCCTCTCATCACAACCAGCCGGAGGTGGTTTGTTTAACCCGGTCAGGGCAGGGTTTCCGTTTCCCGACGCGAGTGAGAACCCAAAAGTCTTCACTCATTAAATGACGAATGACATGCGTGTCCCCCGTGTCAGCCGGATAGATTTGATAGGGCCCACGCCATAGCGGGCGTACTAGAGGCTTCTAAGGCAAGAAACAAGACATGCATTTAATGTGATTATCCTCCCTAGATAGACTCGGTGGACCCATGTGGTAACCCCTTGAGATATAAAAGGAGGTCCAGGCCTACTTAGGGGGAGGGGGGATGAGCCCTTTTTTTTTTCTCTAGATCAGTTTTCATGCCCCTCATCATCAACACCTTCTACTCCAACAGGGAGATCTTGTAAATCTTCACACGATCAGCTAAGCACAGGAGTAGGATATTATGCTTCTCAACGGCCCAAACCTGTATAAACCCCTTTATCTCATTGTTCTTGAGGGGCCCAACACCCTCTACACCACACTTCTCACCGAGTCCTCGAATCTCACCCGCTGTCCCCGGCCAAACCAACAAAGGGGGCCTCACTGTCCCCCGCTTGCGGAGTTCACCCTCCGACAGTCAGCCTTCTCATCTCCATGCCTCCTTCCTTACTTTTCTTATAAGCCCTTGACTATGCAAATCTAAAGGATAGGGGGTTGTTCACAATGCCACCCTCTGGTTCCCCATCCTCTGCTGGTAAAGAGAGGAAGGGGATTCACCCTGCCAATAGATCTAGTAGTTTGGTTAGATTTTTCTCTAAATAAAGTTTTAATTTTTTGTTTTGCCTCATCGACGTCAATGGCGGTGGCGATGCCACAATGGTGGATCTTCTAGTGTTGGTCCCTATCCATCTTGTCTCGGTGGTCTATTTTATGGGGTGTGATTGGCTATGGGCTTCGTTTCACCTAGCTTCGTCGCATGGGTGAAAATGATGGCGTTCTTTGTAATAACAGTCCTCCAATTCTATCTCTTTGCTTCACCGGTGGTCCATCTGGCACTAGTGAAGGGATTGTGAGGGTCGTGTGGTTGCGCCGATGGATGGTGGAGCGGAGGAGCAAATCTGGTTTGGGTTTGGGTGTAACATACCCAAATTTTAGACCTTAAAAATTTCCTGTCAAAATAGTTGGAAGTTAAGTTTTTTATTTTTGGGAGCCAAAAATTTCCATTTTAAACCTAGGTAAACTTTGATCTAACTCTTGCATGAATAAAATTTGAGAACAAACTTTTTCATCTTTAACCTATAGCATAGATGCAAACACAAGTGTAAGCATGCATACTTGCATAAAACATATTTTAACTTGAGTCTTCTTTATGCATTTGGATTTTTGGTTGGCATTGCATATTAGGACCCATGAGCATAAATAAAAGATAAAGATTCACTAAGCAAACCTATAACCACACTTGAGCAATAATTATAAAGACATGAAAATGAAGTCAAATGATACCACCTCAGGTCAAGAGTAGTCTAAATAAATTTCTTACAACTATGTAGATCCATTTATAAATTGGAAACCTATATAAAGAAAAGTCTTGCTAATTATCTAAAATAATTTGTGCAAGATAAAATCATGGGAAAATTCATGTAGGCTCTACTTAAAACATGCAACTCATAGTAATTTTGGTACAATTTAATAACTAAATTTAATATCTCAAATAAATCAGTCAAACCAGTCAAATAATAGTTTAATTATAATCCTTAATCGGCTAAAAACCTACCCTCACTAATTGTGCATTAAACTGCATGGAAGTGTATAGGGGAAATAATTTATTCAAATATTAGGTTAATTATCATGAATAAATATAATTTTTTCAGAATTTATCTTCTCTACTTAGTTCTCCTAAAAATTCAAATTAGTTTCCAATAAGCCCATCTTCTTTTAATTTCTGTAATTTCTGTGAGCAATCTATCCATAATTTTTGAGTAGAAAACGTTAACTAGGTACATTCATTTACCTCCAATAAAATCCACACGACCTCATATGCAACACGAATTAATCTATGAATTAACAAGTTAGGGAAGAGAAAATAATCTGAAAATTCGTCCAAAAATCTCTTTCACACAGTTTTCTACCCATCCCCACACTCCAGCCTAGTGTACTTCGCCCTGGGCCCACCTGACGGTGTCACAAGCTAGCTCCAACTCTGTGCAGAACCTTCCCACCGATCTAAAGACTGAGAGAAAAAGAGAGAACGAGAGAGAGAGAGAGAGCCGACCGAGCTCTGGGGCGCGTCGACGCGTGGCCGAGACGTGTCGCCGCTCCAAACCCAACATCTCTTGATCTCTTCCCTCCCAGCCGCTTCACCCATCACTACTCCTCACTCTCAAACCGAAGAAGCCGAGGGAGAAGGCTCTCTGCTCCTCCGGCGCTCTCAATCTCGTAACCGGCCGCGAAGAAGAAGGACGGCAGCAATCGTCGTCGAGCCGCGGTCATCTCCTCCCTTCATGCGTTCCCTTGTCTACTCAGGATGCCGGCTTCATTCCTCTAAGTTTCATCCCATTTGGTGCAGCGGATCGTCGGGAACGCGGACCTCACCATCGTTGCTCCGGAGCGCGCACCGAGTGCCGCCGTCGGGTTCTCGTCGTCGTTCCGACCGCTGTAGACCAAGCCAAGCCGAGCCGTCGCGCCAACATATTCTCCTTGAAGTCCTCCTCAAAACCCTTCAAGAATCCCAGGCAATGGCGCAGCAAGTGCGGAGATCGGCCACCGTCTTCTTCACCTCCGGTCGCCGTCGCCATTGTCGATTCCGCCTCCTCCGGTGAGCCATTATTAGATTACTCGCGCACACACCATCTCTCTGGCCTCACTAACCTCATGGACACACATGCATGATAGTTCTTGGAGCCGATTGAGCCGTCGCCGTTCACCCCGGAGGTTCTTGCCGCCGCCGAGCCGTTACACGAGCCGCCGTCGTCAACCTAGCTTCGCCAGCCTTGTTTTACATCTCGGTGAGCACACTGGACTCCTTAGAAAAGCACATGCATGCACTCCCTTAGTCGATTCGCGCCTATGGCACAACATGCCTACCCATGCCAAAACATCCTCCGCTCGGACTCGCCGCCGGCGTTACTCCGATGTCCACTAACCGAGAAAAGTATAGGAATGGAATCACAATAACATGATCTTCATTTTTATTTTGGTCGTACCCCCAAACGAGTCATCGTTTGCCGCCGGCGAGCTCGAGATCGAGCTCGGCCATGGCGCTCTGTTCTCGCAGGGACTTCGTTTTGAGAATTTAAATAAATATAACGTTCATGAGAATTTATTTATTTAAATATAACGTTTAAATAAATAAATTTAAATAAACATACTAAACACTGACATATGGGCCTAGGACTACGGGTTGGTTTCTAGAAATCTCAAGGGCCTTTTTGCATATTGTCCGTATGACTGACAGCGGACCCCTAGAAACAAAATCTGAGATTATATAAGAAAAGTACTTAAAACTTGTAAAAATCCATATAAAATCAAATATAACTCATTTTGAGATGATTAAAGTTTCTGTGAACTCATATAAGGATGAAATTTAATGTTATGAAATAAAAACTTACACTTGCAGTACAAATTTCACCTCTAAAATTTATTTGAGAAAAAATATACATAAAGCATGCACAAACTTATAAAATGCATATAAAATTCATCTCAACTCATTTTAGGGTAAATTCACATTCCACAGAATCACCAATTTGTTTTCTACTGTAAAGTGAAATAAAATAATATACTTACTTTGTACCTAATGCCTCTAAAACTATTATCTTTAAAATGAATAGTTTTAGATAAGTTGAACTTTAGAAGTTTATATAAAATTCATCTTAGATCCTTTTTGAGTAAACCCAAGTTCTATAGAGTCATCAAAACATATACTTCCAAGTTGTAAAATAAAATCATATACTTACTGTATAATAAAAGCCTCAAATATTTATGTAAGGAATAACCAACATTGAGCAGCCTTTAATTTGTAAAATTTGTAGAAAATTCATCTTTAGTCCAAATAGAGTGAACCAAGTTTCTATAGAACCAGAAAATGGTAAGCTTCAACATAGTAAATAAAATATGGCACTTTTTGTACAGGTTATAGCTCTAATCTTTAATTAGATACCCTAGGAGTTAATCACCTAGTATTGGTTAAGCAAAATATATGTGTAGAAGTATTTAAGATGAACTCTAGCTATGAATAAACCAAAAATAAAACTTGTTAGACCAGAGAGGTCATAGTTCCAACCTTAATTCCCAAAGACTTAGCAAACTTAACTCATAACAATTTCTAGGTTGGTAGGTTAAGTAACTAACATAGACCATCCCTATTTATAAAATATGTAGTAAAATAATATAAACTCTAAAATTATGAACTAAGATTAGATTAGCTAACTAAAATACTCATTTTATACATCACTAGCAAGTTAGAGCAAGTTCTGGACCTAAATCTCCAAAACCATGTACACATAGAGACTATATGCCTAGAACACGTTATAACTTGTAAAATACATAAAGAATTCATGTTAACTCTAGAAATTGTGAAACCAAATTTGTTAGTCTTAGAAAACACATATCTTCACCTCAGCAAACATAAACTTAATAAGAATCACCTTACAACAGCATTTCACAATAGTACCTAAGTAAATACTACCCTATACCGAGCAAACTTATAAAATTCATAACTCTCAAATAAAAAGAGATAAAATAGAAATTCTTTCACCTAAATTCATATTATACTAGTACCTATCCATTATGCACAAATCAAGCATTTTAGAGCATTCTGGATTTTTCGCATATTTCGGTGTTTAATTGCATAACGTGTACTTTGTATAGATGATTGCTTAAACGGTGAAGAAGTGAATTAGGTGCTGACATTTTCCAGTTGCAAGGCAAGTCCCACCTCCCTCTCTTTGATCACTTTGAACCTATGTTTTGAAGGTTATTGAAAATATTTGCAAATCTTGCATGTCGATTGGACACTAATAAATTAAAATTTTGTTAAACTTGTTAGACAAACTCCTATTACTTGCATTATCACCCTAACCCCACATATATCCATATCCCACATTCCTAACCTTAGGAACAATATGACTATGCCACTTTATATATGAGTTTAGATGTCACTAGATTGCTATAATGCTTAGCCATGCTTAGTATGTGTAGTACTTGTCATTTGGGCTCTTATTAACTTGAAAAAATGATTTTATTCAAGTTCTGGACAGAAATGAATAAATGAGGAATTTGACAAACAAAGCATATGGCCATCAAAGTAGGCATTAATCATATATAAATATGCACCTCATTGCCATCCATAGTAGCAAGGAGATCATTCTTAAATCTCATCACATTTTGAAGTTAAATTTCAGCATTTAGAAGATTAAACATAAGTCTATACTCAACACATATCCACATACCGCTCATAACCGTGAGCACGGCTAATCGATTAGTTTTTAGACTCTGCTGAGCTTGTACAGCTTTACCCACATAATGTGAATCGCTCTAGTTTGTCCGATACCCGTCGGTACCACCACACTCTACACATTAAGCGAGTCTAGAGGTCACAACGAGGCTTTTACATTAAGTCTTGTCTAATCCTTGCATGAGCACAATGAGTGTTGTTCCACACTAATTCTAGAATCTTAATGTCATTATATTGGGGGGTCTTTACCAATATAACGCCATAGGCAAGCCGGTACAATCGCTTCCTATGTGGCACTCAACGTTGTACGTGAGGCGGAACATTACAGTCGTCCCCTCACGCGGAACAGTACAGTCGTTCCCTACCAAACCATAAATAAAAGTGAGGCGGAACGTTACAGTCGTCCCCTCATAAACATCATACACATAAAAAGCGGATTGGTACAGTCATCTCCTTTGCAATACACACATAAACACAAATAGCCCTACAGTTCACTCGTAGGCACTATCGCTACTACAACGGCCTCCCGAATGCTACAACGGCCTCCCGAATGCAAGGTTAGACCAGCACTTAACTTAGTAGGCCAAGGTCACCCCATAATAACACATGTGGATGTACGGTAAACATAATGAACAGACATTGAGTATAGTCCTTAGATCAGTCTGGGCACACTCTCCCCCTATCGGTATACAACTAGTCAACATATGTATACCACATGAGGCCCAAACTTAAAATTCAAGTTTTTCAACATTTTGTTTGTCAAATTCCTCATTTATTCGCAAATATGATTTGAATGTATTTTATGCAAATAAAACTTGCTTTATGCTAAAAGGAACCATATTATGCCTTCTTTGATTATATGCCTTGCAAGTAGGGTGTTAGGCTTGTCTTGGTGCTTGCCAGTACATTATTTCTAATAATGTACTGGCTCTTGCTATTGGATTAACTATTTGCTTGCAGGTTTTAGACTTAGTCTTTGAGTGATGCGGGTTTCGTCTGCTTCTTCTAGGACTTGAACTTAATGGGGTAAACCCCTAGTCGGTGTGCTTGAGGATTGGGTAGTCAAGCTTCCGTTGTTCTATAAACTATATTCGGCTAGTCGGCCTATGTAACTATGAAATAGTTGTGATTTAGATCATTGGCTAGTCGGCCTATGTAACTATGAAATAGTTGTGATTTAGATCATTTTCGTCTTAAGTGTATTTTGCTATGATTTCCATGCTTAAGATAAAAGTGTGAATCTAGTGCACATCCTGGGAACTAGATTCACATGAGTACGAGTTAAGAATATTTGAGATGTTGTAAATCTTTAGCTATTTTTGTCAAGTCTCCTGAATATGTAACACATCTGGTCGCCACTTTCGAGTGGTTTGACGGGTACATCTCAGGCTGAAGTTGACTGGTAGGCTAAAGGTCCAGCAATGTCTCTAATATTCTTCTCTCGAGGCGTAAGATATTTCATTATATTTGTTTGATGATTTGAATCATTCACTTCATCTCTCAAATATAATGGGAGATCCGGAGATCCTACAACATTGGGCCATTGCTTCGCTGGTGATACTTCGATGGTTTTATGATCCCGTTCTTCGGATGGATGACTATAATGGTCTCCAAAAACCACTGTACAATTGGGTTGGTCTATATTTTGCTTGATTGTTTGTTAGAGAAGCGGTGCCATGAAGCAGTACCATGGTCGCACTCGAGACGTCAAGCAGATGGTACAACGCGAGTCAAACCATCCCCTCCTTTGGTGTCCGTTGACCACGGAAAAACTGCTCACAACCTCCTTTGGTGTCCGTTGACCACGGAAAAACTGCTCACAACAGTTAAGAAAAGGAGGGGTTCACCTTGGCCATTGAATTTGGGAAAATGGGAAAATCGAGCTTGTGGTAGCGGGGTGCACAATTAGAATGACAGCCATCATCGCCACGATCGCCATCAGCATCGCGGTGAGCATGTTCCAGATGTTGGATTGCGACGTGGTGCGATTGCTGTTGGTTGTCGACGTCAGAAATCTGACCGCAGATGGCGTCCAGGCGCTCAATCACCGCATCGAGGCCCTTCTTCCAATCGCCGGTAGTGTTAGAGCTAGTGGACATGGCGCCGCGGCAGCGGCGAACATGATCATGGTCTCGTGATACCAAGATGTTACAAACCGGTGGCGAACCAAACTCTGCAGAGCGTATGTGTGCTCGACGGGAGGGCGAGGCTGTGCACCTCGCCGCCCCGGAGCGTGTTGATGCGAAACACAGCGGCCTGGGTGTCACGCCCAGAAATTTAGCCCAAATTTCTAGACTATTTTGTGTATTAAATCCCTGTCCAGGACCAGCCAGGGTACATAAAACGACAAGTAATATACAGTTCCAAACGTAAATAAATCGTAAAACACTTACAGAAGAGGCACTTAGTCCTCACACCGAAAGTGAACGACGGCAGCGGAAAAAGGCGATCCTAGCGGTGCTTCAGCTCCACTCCACAGGCAAAACTCAACTGGGGTCTGAGCCTTGGTCTTTTAACTTCGTCTTCAGCTCAGAAGCACTATACTTCTGAAAAGGGGAAAATAATAGCAAGGCTGAGTACAACCACCGTACTCAGCAAGCCACACCAACGATGCAGACGTGCCAGGGGATACAAGGACGGCTTGTGGCTATTTGCATAAAGGCGGTTGTAAAACATTTTATTGAGTAAAATAATAAAACTGTTGAGTAATTAAAGTAACATTAAATCTCCACTGATCAACGCTACACCACGTTGAACAGGCCCAACCAACCCACCTGAACTACAGTGCATTGAGTCGATTTATTAAGGTGGGACTAATCACGGTGAATCTGGTCGACCGCCCATAACCGCGGGCACGACTATTCGAATAGTTTTACTCTGATCAGAGGTGTACAACTGTACCAACAAGACACAGCCCCACCACACGTTTCCGTGCGCCGACATGACACCACGACATACCGGAAAGAGGTCGTGACAGGACCCTTCGCATAACACCCTCTAACCGATCGCACCACACCTCAGGGTTCGCCCCCGTCCCTAGCAGGCAACGGGCAGCCCCTATCTCGTGCCGCGGTGAATCCGGAAGCCGATCAATCGGACACCCCGGCCGACCCAACTCCATCACGCCCACCCTCGTCTGGGTACGTCGGCTAGAGGAAAGCTACACTACAAGCCCAACTGTTGCCTACGCTGGCTTGTGGTAAGTACGATAAGTTCTTCCAAGGCATCCCGCGAACCGGTCCTTAATTGCCATGGGTGCAACTAGCAAAACCATGCACCCACAGCCCACCATTCAGTCGTATTTTAGTTGGATAATTACGAATATGAAGCATGGCCAGATGTCTCGAGCATGCAGCTCATTCTGATACTAAAAAGGTCTAATACTGTAATTATCCCATCAAGTGTTAACGACCAAATTTGGTAATATCAGCATCGAAGATGAAGATGGGATCAAAGCGGAATCGGAGATAAGGATTGTTGCGGAAACAGAGTAAGAATCGGCTGGAGTCCGGATTGGCTACGACTGGGATCGGCTAAGTCCGAGTCAGACTGGGTTGAGTGATACAGTCGATTCCGACAATACGACTTTTGTACGACATCGGGTTCGAGTTGGTGTGCTTCAAGATGATTGCCGCACATGGATAGAGTCCTGAGAAGGCAATTGTATCTATTAATTAGGATATTTTATGTAAATTCCTTAGAGATAAATGTGGGCAAAAGTCTGCCGCAAAGACTTATGGTATCTAAGAGTTTGTTAGAGATAAGAGTCGTGTCCAATATGGACATATCTTGTATTTCTCGGGTATAAATAGACCCCGAGCCATATGTAAGGTTGAGCTGCATCGGTTTCGATCTTCAACAAGAGGTAAAACTTATTATGATGGCTTGCGTTCTCGGGATTAGTGCTTCCATCTTTATGATACTCTAGTCTTGTTTATGTAATTCGTCGAGTTACCATATATTCTATATAATCTCTGACATTATCATTATCTAATCTATAATCGGCTAACATCTGTTAGTAGAAGGCGGCCGATTATGTTAAATAGTGAGGTTGGCTTAGATTATATAAGATATCTACCACTCTATGAAACATCCAGCGGCTTGATTGTCTAGATATTGTTCTTCTTTTCATACTTAATGCTACATCAGTTGAGTTTGATCTATTAAGTCGTGCTTAGAATTTCAATCCCTAGTCTGCTTTCTGGTTGCCGATTAGAGTAGTATCGGACTTTCAGCCGATCTTACCTGATCTAACTTCTTTTATCTTACATGCTTGATTGTAACGGACTCAAAATTTTGGGAAAAATTTTTGCGAAATATTTTAGTTGCACTCTTCTCGATTCTTCTGAAGTGATCTTGCCTTCTGTTAATTTCTTTTAACTTGGATTTAAACTTTATTTGCAAAGTTAATCGCTCTCTTTTAAATTTTATAAAACCTTTCCATTTATTTTCTGTAATCTCTAACTTTGGCTCTAAATTATATTTCCTTGGAATCCATTCCCGAACACCTCGAACCAATACCCTTTCAATTCCCATTCAACCATCTCTTGAGCACATAAAATATCAATCTCTCTAGAGCTTACCATACTACCACCAAATCCATTTTTATCTTCCATCAAATACTTCCCCTTTGATCTCTACCCGAACACATGAAATACCAATTCTTATTTTTTCCCCCAGAACCAATACCTTTCCTTTGGATCTCCACCTAAATATTCCCATAGTCCATAAAATATCCTTTTCAATTCCCCTTTGAGTCAACATACCCATCCTTTAGAGTTTATCAACATACCACCAATTTCGTTCCTATAAAGATTCCCATCCACATATACTTCCGAATCCAGTTCTATACTCCCACAAATATTTCCCCTTTGAAATCTCGTTCATCTAAATTATCCATTCAAGATTTCAAAGTCTACTATTTAGCTTAGGCCAATATTTCCCCGATTGACCCGATTCTCTGTTATATCCTAATAACCATTTTTATCTTTGGGGCTAAACCAGTATAACTCCCTTTCCGTTGGAATTTATTTTGGATCAACCCCTATCTAAACCTATCCCCAAAAACATTTGTCTCCTTTTAATCGGTCCAAAATATCCCGTGGTTAAGTTCCTATTTTGATCCATGCACCAATTCGATTCCTATAACTTGATCACATTCTTGGCACAAAGAATAATATTATCACAAATATTTGAATGATTGCTCTTGTGCTAAGAAACTTATTTCCAATCCCTTCTACTCAAAATCCAACTTCCTTTAGCCACAAATAATTCACCGAGAATCCATACCACATATTTTGGAGGCTAAAATCCTAGTTATTTACCTCCATCTATTTTTGCCACCATCCCAAATTTATCCAAAGTTAGAAATTAAATTATTTCCTTTCCTTCCCATTTGATTAATTTAATTTTTAAAGAAAATCTTTGTGATAAGTTTTATATTTGGTTCTTATTGAATTCTTTTAAAATTGGAGCATCTTAATGTTTATCCTTTTCAAATTTATATCTCAAAAATAAATATCTTGATTTTATTTTATAAGTATTTTAAACTCCTTTTGCTTCAAAAACCTTATATTCAAATTCCTTTTATAAAGTTTAAGAGACCCTTAAACATTCCTCTTTTAAATTTTATCTCCTTTAAAATTTATTAATTTATTTAAAACCCTGCCTTCAAAATTCCTCTAGTTTAAAATTCCTTTAACTCTATTTAAATTCCTTGTCCAAAGTTCAAAAGGTTCACAAATATCTTCCTTTAGAATTTTTTCCCCTTTGAATTCTAGTCAAATTCAAAAAGTCCACAAACATTCTTCTTATAGATTTCATCTCCTTTAAATTCCATTTAAAATCCTCTACACAAAAATTCCCAAAGGTTCCTATTCAAATCGGGCCGAAATTCCTTTTTCTTCTCCCCTCGGCCCATCTCCCTCCTCAGCCCAAGCCGACCCAGCCCCAGCTAAGCCGGCTCCTTTCTCTTCTCTGTGGGCGCGCGTGGCACACCGCCGCCACCGTCGCCGTGGCTTTGTGCTGCCGTCGCCCGCAGCTTTGCGCCGCTGCCGTTGTCTTGCCGTCGACGCGAAGGATCTATCACCAACGTCAGCTGCGACGTCACGCCGCCGAGCCGAACCGCCATCACCGGCCAATCAACGGACAGAGCCGGCGCCGTACTCCTCTTCCCCACGTCGCCGTTGCCGTGCATCCTTCGCTATTCTC